CCAGGTAGTCGTCCATGCTGCTGTAGTTGAACGTTCTCCCCTGATGTCCCCAGAAACCTGCAATGTTTAGGGGACGAGGAAGGGGACAGACGGAGGTACCCGGTGCCAGTCAGCCCCGTGATGCCCACGCTGGTCCATGGGCAGAGCAGGGATGAGCAAGGGCACCTCAAACCGCTGCATTGCAGAGGGAGGGGGTTTCTCGTGCCACCTCAAAGCACGGTTTGCTGCCAGGTCTGCTTTTGCTGCCCAACATACCGCAAGAAGCTCCGCTCGGGCCCTCTCCTTGCCCCAGAAGGTGCCCGAGGGCTAAGCAAAGCCAAAAGGGTCTGAACTTGGAGGTGGGAGGTGATGGGGGACCGGCACGAAGCCCCCTCGTCCTCTGTTGTTTTCCGTCTGGGCGCGGAGCCCGATCCCCACGTGCGGACCAGATGGGAGCTGGCAGGGCCTGTGGATGCTCCCGCCACCTTTCCGGGAAGAAACACGAGTTTCCAGCAACCTCCCAGCCGGCGCCAGGCGTGCAGAGCTCGGGAAAGGCTCCGAGAGGCCCACGAGGGCTCTCGGCCACCCTCAAACCTTGTCTCCCCCTCGGCCAGGACCAGCCTGTGGTCCCTGCTGGGAGCTGCCAGCCCCATCTCCGTTTGGGAAGGTCCAGGGGAGAGGGGCAGCCGGGATTTCCTCTGGCTTTGGCTCTCCTTGCTCTTCCTTAAAGCATCAAGAGCAGCTCTAAAAAGGCTGCTGCTAAAAACTGGGGCTGGATGTGTCTTGGGAGGGAGCTGAGCCGCAGCAGGAGCCCAGGCTGCACAGACACAAGCGGCGACGTGACGGGACAGGAAACCGTGACAAGGAAACCTGTGACAAGGAAACCGAGTCCCGAGTCTGCCTGAGGGCAGCAATGAAGCCAGAAGTGTCATTTCTTCAAGCCCAAATGATGCAAGCGGCCAAAAGCAGAAAACAAAACAAAATAAAACCCACTTGTAGCCTCTTATTCTTGGCTCTGCACCCAAAATGTGCAGATCAGAGCTGCTTTTTTTTTTTTTTTCCCAACTTTTCCCTGCAGGCGCTTCTGGCTGCAAGACAAGCCCCAGAAACCTTGTCTCATCCATGGTTCCAGGAAGCCGAGTTTCCACAAAACTGCCAATTCTTTTTGTGCCCAGTAAAATCTACGGCTGTGGCGCAGAGCAGCAGGACTAGGAGCAGGCTGGCTCCAAGGTTTGCATCCCCTTGGCCCTATTACGGAGCCCAGCAGCCCAAGGAAGGCAAGAAAAGCCCCAAAACCTCCTTAGAAGGGCAAAGGAAAAAGCTGAGCTGACCACAAGAGGGTGAAATTGGACAACCGGCTCCTGCGCTGCACAGGGAGCTCTGTTTAGTGCCAAAGACCTGCCCGAAAGCGTCATTCCCGAGCGCTGCCAGCAGCCGGGTTTGGGCTGCGGGGCTGCAAGAGCGAATGGAAACGAAAGCGGCGCCACGGAGCAAAGAAACAGCCCCTTGGGCATCACCGAGCCCCCGTCTCCTGCCTACTTCCCGGCCAAGCTGCAGTTAACTCATTTCTGACAGCAAATGGATGGTTTGCTGCTCCCAAACCGCTTTCTTCCTTCTTATTTCCTTGATGTTTGAGACGATGCAAGAAGCGCCCTGCCAGGTATGGGGCTCCTTGACACGTGCCCATGGGCGCTGGGGGCCAGGGTCGCCTGTGGGGGGACATTTATGGGGGTGGTTGGGGATGGCGCCGTGTCGGAAAAAACAGATGTTGCCTCCCGGAGAGACTTGCAGAGGTTGCATGAGTGATGCGTGAGCCTGCACAACCCGTGCATGAGCTGCCATAGGCAATGAGCGTGCTTGCACAACCGATGCCACCGCGTGGATGCTCCTTCCTGGATGTACTAGGAAAACTAGGCAGTGGCTGCGTGCCCTGCACGCTGTGCTCAGTGCCCTGTGCTGCAGCAATGGCGTAATGTGCAGTACGTGACATCTGTGGTGTGCACCATGCCATATGCCACGAGCACTGTGCAAGATGCACCATGCACCGTGCAGTATGCAATGAGCATCTTGCAACATGCACTGTGCAGTATGCCATGAGCACCGTGCAGTATGTGATGAGCACTATGCAATATGCACTATGCACCGTGCAGTATGCAACACCATGCCACGAGCATCATGCAATAGGCAGTGTGCACCGTGCAGTATGCAACGAGCACCATGCAGTATGCCATGAGCAACGTGCAATATGCAATGAGCACCGTGCAGTATGTGATGAGCACTGTGCAAGATGCACCATGCACCGTGCAGTGCGCAAGAGTATCATGCAAGATGCACTGTGCACTGTGCAGTATGCAAAGAGCACCATGCAATACGCACTGTGCACCGTGCAGTATGCAATGAGCACTGCACAGTATGCAGTGAGCAGTGTGGGATGAGCACTGTGCAATATGCACCATGCGCTGTGCAGTATGCAAAGAGCACCATGCGATATGCACTATGCACCGTGCTGTGCGGAAAAGCTCGCTGTCAAGAACTGAATGTCCAAAAAGGAGACAGAGGAGTCCTAAAACTTTATTTGAATAAAGGGAGAGTCCAGCGGGCATATCCCTGTGGGGTCTCTCAAATTGCTGGAGGACGCAGCCCCCCTTTTATCCTAATTTCCCGGCCGAGGGACGTCCTCTCCTTTCCCCATTGGCCAAGGTACTCAGAAGTTACAGCCTTCCCGGCCCGCCTATACCAAACTCCTGCCATCTGTTCTCAGCTAAGGTCCCCTGACTCCTTTGTCCCCCTTGCTGAAGAATGTGGGGTATTCCCCTATTTCCCTCCTTTGTAAAGGCCCCCATCTCCTTGCAGATGGCTCTTTTTGTCCCACTCGCTCATGGCTCCGCTCAGCCTCTCCTCCCTTTGTCCTGCTCTGCAGCCAGACTGTGGGGAAATCCCCTTTTTGATGAATACACAAACTTGAGCATTCCGCTCAGTGCAGTATGCAATGAGCACTGTGCAATATGCACTATGCACTGTGCAGTATGCAACGAGCATCATGCAATATGCACTGTGCATTGTGCAGTATGCCGTGAGCACCGTGCAGTATGTGATGAGCACTGTGCAATATGCACTATGCACTGTGCAGTATGGAACGAGCATCATGCAATATTCACTGTGCATTGGGCAGTATGCCATGAGCACCATGCAGTACGCCATGAGCACCGTGCAATATGCAATGAGCACCGTGCAGTATGTGATGAGCACTGTGCAATATGTACTGTGCACCATGCAGTATGCCATGAACACCACGCAGTATGCCATGAGCACGGTGCAATATGCACTATGCACTGTGCAGTATGCGATGAGCACCGTGCAGTATGTGAGGAGCACTGTGCAATATGCACCAGCGCCGTGCAGTATGCAACGAGCATCATGCAATATGCACTGTGCGGTATGCAATGAGCACCGCGCAGTATGTGATGAGCAATATGCAAGATGCACTGTGCACCGTACAGTATGCAATGAGCATCGTGCAGTGTGGGATGAGCACTGTGCAATATGCACTATGCGCTATGCAGTATGCAACGAGCATCATGCAATATGCACTGTGCGGTATGCAATGAGCACCGCGCAGTATGTGATGAGCAATGTGCAATATGCACTGTGCACCGTACAGTATGCAATGAGCATCGTGCAGTGTGGGATGAGCACTGTGCAGTATGCACCAGCGCCGTGCAGTATGCAACGAGCATCATGCAATATGCACTGTGCGGTATGCAATGAGCACCGTGCAGTATGTGATGAGCAATGTGCAATATGCACTGTGCACCGTACAGTATGCAATGAGCATCGTGCAGTGTGGGATGAGCACTGTGCAGTATGCACCAGCGCCGTGCAGTATGCAACGAGCATCATGCAATATGCACTGTGCGGTATGCAATGAGCACCGTGCAGTATGTGATGAGCAATGTGCAATATGCACTGTGCACCGTACAGTATGCAATGAGCATCGTGCAGTGTGGGATGAGCACTGTGCAGTATGCACCAGCGCCGTGCAGTATGCAACGAGCATCATGCAATATGCACTGTGCGGTATGCAATGAGCACCGTGCAGTATGTGATGAGCAATGTGCAATATGCACTGTGCACCGTACAGTATGCAATGAGCATCGTGCAGTGTGGGATGAGCACTGTGCAGTATGCACCAGCGCCGTGCAGTATGCAACGAGCATCATGCAATATGCACTGTGCGGTATGCAATGAGCACCGTGCAGTATGTGATGAGCAATGTGCAATATGCACTGTGCACCGTACAGTATGCAATGAGCATCGTGCAGTGTGGGATGAGCACTGTGCAGTATGCACCAGCGCCGTGCAGTATGCAACGAGCATCATGCAATATGCACTGTGCGGTATGCAATGAGCACCGTGCAGTATGTGATGAGCAATGTGCAATATGCACTGTGCACCGTACAGTATGCAATGAGCATCGTGCAGTGTGGGATGAGCACTGTGCAGTATGCACCAGCGCCGTGCAGTATGCAACGAGCATCATGCAATATGCACTGTCCCCTGCAATCCCCCCATTGCATCCTGCACCTCCATCCCTCCCCATTGCAGCCCCCCATTGCACCCTGCACCCCCAGCCCTCCCCCTTGCAACCCCCATTGCAACCCCCATTCCATTCTGAACCCCCCAGCCCTCCCCATTTTAACCCGCCCATTGCACTCTGCTGCACCCCAAGCTCTTTCCCCACTGCGCTCCTGTGCACCCCAAACCCTTCCCCCTTGCAACTCCCCATGCACCCTGTTTCCCTGTTGCACTCCCGTGTAAATCCAGGGCGCTGCATCCTGGCCAGGGGCACGGAGAGGCAGCTGGTGCCAGAATAAAAAGGACCTTTGCTCCCTGACATCCCTGCAGCTCCTTGCGGGATGGGAGGGCCGGGATGCACACGGAGCAGGGATGTGCACGGAGCAGGACGAGGTGCAGCGGGATGGGATAGGGCAGAGCATAGAGCCAAGCCCACGGTTTTATCATCACCGAGCACACACCGCACCGCACACGCCGGCCGGGCCGGACCGGGGCCCGGATCCCCCGTGGGAAGCTTCGCCCTTAGCCCTCTGCGACTCACCCCGCGCGGCCAACGGCCCCAAAGGCCCTGCCGTGCCCGGGGGCAGTGCCAGGGCTGCGGCGCCGCGGAGTCGCCGCACGATGTGCCCGGCGGCAGCCCCGCCGGCGGAGCTGGGAGGTAGTTGGCA